AAATTTATTTTCTCACAATTCTGGAGGCTAGGTATCAGCAGGGTTGGTTCACCTCTGAGGCCTCTCTCCTTGGCTTGTAGATGGCCATCTTCCTCAGGTATCTGCGCATGGTCTTCCCTCTGTGGTGTGTCCGTGTCCTAATGTCTTCTTTTGAGAACACAGTCATATTGGATTAGGACCCACCCACATGACCTCATTGTACCTCTCTCCACATACAGACACATTCTGAGGGGCTGGGGGTTAGGACTTCGACGTGTGAGTTTGTGGGGGACACGACTCAGCCCATCACAAAGCCAATGACAAAAGCATGTGCTATGAGTCATTTTATACTCAGCACTCAGGACCGTACCTGGTACACAGTGAGCATTCAATTTTTTTGAAAGAAGGAAAAGAGAGAAAGATGAAGAGAACACGTTAGGAGGGATGATTCAGAGTTAGTGGCTGAAACAGAGGTTGGAAAGGGAGTGAGCATGGCCAGTGTGAAGGAATACAGAGCGGCAGGACCCAGGCAAGACATTCATTCTGTTGAGCTGTGGGAAATGAAGTTGAAGGTCAGGACCAATTCTTGAAGCCCTGAGTGCCGAGTTGAGGTATTTGAAATTCACCCTGCAAGCAACACAGCTCCCCTGAGAGGTCATGTGCAGAGGAAGAAATTGAGGGAAATGGCAATTTAATGTTAGTGCAAAATCTGGAATTGGAGAGCTTCTGCCTAGAGATACACAACTTTTATTAAGAATTCAAGAAAATCAGGAATTGTGTGGAAAAAACCCTGCCTCTTTCTAGTCAAAGTTTGAATCATCTCTTGATGTAACATTAGGTAACAGGACCACTAAGACCGCATTTAAAACTTGACCCCTTTTATAATGTAACCAGATGAATTTCTAGGAGACTTGAGTCATTACCTTTCTTTAGAGCTTTTAAAGAGTTGGGGTCATTCCACTTGTCCTCTGGGAGACCCCAGCAAGCGGCTCCCTCTCTCTTTCTTTTAAATTATTATTTTTTTAAAAAAAAAAATTTTTGGAAGATTAGCCCTGAGCTAACATCTGCCGCCAATCCTCCTCCTTTTACTGAGGAAGACTGACCCTGAGCTAACATCCGTGCCCATCTTCCTCTACTTTATATGTGGGACACCTGACAAGCAGTGCCTAGGTCCGCACCCAGGATCCAAAACCGCGAACCCGAGGCTGCCAAAGCAGAATGTGTGAACTTAACCGTTGCGCCACCAGGCTGGCCCCTTTTTAAATTATTTTATTGAGGCCACATTGGTTTATAACATTGTGGGAATTTCAGGTGTACATCATTATATTTTGGCTTCTGTATAGACTACATCAGATGGAAACTATAGTCTAGTTTCCATCTGTCACAGTACACACGTGCCTCTTTACCCCTTCCACCCTCCCCTCACCCCTTCCCCTTTAACGACCAATATGTTCTCCATATCTATGTGTTTCTTTGTTTATCTTACACATATGAGTGAAATCACACAGTATTTGTCTTTCTCTGTCTGACAGCATATTTCACTTAGCATAATACCCCCAAGGTCTTTCCCTTGAAATGGCATGATTTCATCTTTTTTATGGCTGAGTAGTATTCTGTTGTGTATATATACCATATCTCCTTTATCCATTCATCCATTGATGGGCATTTAGTTTGCTTCAAGTCTTGGCTATTGTGAATAATGCTGCAATGAACATAGGGGTGCATATATCTTCTTGAATTAGTGTTTTCATGTTCTTTGGATAAATATCCAGTAGTAGAATAGCTGTATCATATGGTATTTCTATTTTTAATGTTTTGAGAAATCTCCATACTGTTTTCCATAGTGGCTGCACCAGTTTGCATTCCCACCAGCAGTGTATGAGGGTTCCCTTTTCTCCACATCCTCTCCATCATTTATTTCTTGTCTTCTTAATAATAGCCATTCTGACGGGTTTGAGGTGATATCTCGTTGTAGTTTTGATTTGCTTTTCCCTAATAATTAGTGATGTTGAACATCTTTTCATGTGCCTGTTGGCCATCTGTATATCTACTTTGGAAAAATGTCTGTTCATATCTTCTGCCCATTTTTTGATTGGGTTGTTCATTTTTTTGTTGTTGAGTTGTATGAGTTCTTTACATATTTTGGAAATTAACCCCTTGTTGGATATATGATTTGCAAATATTTTATCCCAGTTGGTGGGTTGTCGTTTCATTTTGTTGATGGTTTCCTTTGCCACAAAGAAGCTATTTAGCTTGACGTAGTCCCATTTGTTTATTTTTTCTTTTGTTTCCCTTGCCTGAGGAGACATGGTATTCAAAAAATACTGCTAAGATCAATGTCAAAGAGTATACTGCCTATATTTTCTTCTAGGATTTTTACGGTTTCATGTCTTACATTCAAGTCTTTAATCCATTTTGAGTTAATTTTTGTGTATGGTGTAAGATAATGGTCTACTTTTATTCTTTTCCATGTGGCCGTCCAGTTTTCCCAACAGCGTTTATTGAAGAGACTTTCCTTTCTCCCACTGTATGCTCTTGGTTCCTTTGTCGAAAATTAGCTGTCCATAGAATAACAAAAGACCCTGAATAGCCAAAGCAATCCTCAGAAAAAAGAAGAAAGCTGGAGGCATCACAATCCCTGACTTCAAAGTAGACTGCAAAGCCATAGTAATCCAAACAGCATGGAACTGGTAGAAGAGACACACATGTCATTAGAACAGAATTGAGAGCCCAGAAATAAAACCACACATCTATGGGCTCTCTCTTCCTTAATTGCGTGGATTTCTTGTGGTTACCTTGCTCTGCTCATGCTACCACTGATCTGTTTGTCAAAGATTCTCTTATGGTAATTGACAAAAACCCCTAGAGCTAGTAAGCAAAAAGGTTTCTACGCTCAAGTGACTAGAGAGGTAGGAGTGCAGTTCGCCTCAGGTGTGCCTGGAATCATGGTCTCCAGTCCTTCAAATCTCCCTATGTTGGCTTCATTCTTTCAGGCTGGCTGGCTGGCTGGCTATATAAGACTCACATCCTAAATGGCTATATCCTTAACCTCCTCCAAAGAGGAAAGAGGACCCCTCCTTACCAGAACTAAGTAGAAAACTCTAGGAAAACCCTAATTGGGTCACTTACCTGCCCCTGCCCCCAAGAGATGTTTATGGTTGACTTGGGGAAGAGAAAAATCCCTCATAAAAAAAAGGGGTGCTAATCTAGGCTGATAAAATAATAAATGTGTGTTGTGGGGCTGCAAAAAAATTATTTTTATTTCAAAGCATTTTGAGGCTGTGTGTTTGGTCATGATGACCTGATAGCCCAAATTTTCCTGGATGATGTCAATTTTATTTCATGTGATTTTTCCTCAATAAAGTTTTTTTTTGTTGTTTATTTGTTTTTTGTTTTTGCTGAGGAAGATTCACCCTGAGCTAACATCTGTTGCCACTCTTCCTCCTTTTGTTTGAGGAAGATTTGCCCTGAGTTAACACATCTGTGTCAATCTTCCTCTATTGTGTATGTGGGTCACTGCCACAGCATAGCTGCCAATGAGTGATGTAGGTCCACACATGGGAACTGAACCTGGACCACTAAAGTGGAGCATGCCCAACTTAAGCAGTAGGCCACAGGGCTGGCCCTAATAAAGATGATTTTAAGTGTAAAACTAAAAATGATTTATTTTTGTACACCTTTGAACAACTTCATATGAATGAATGAATGAACAAATCCGAAAGTCATTTGTCAAATTTTGCATCCTCGGTTTAGGAAATCTGATGTATTATTGCTCTACTAGAGAAATTAGCCGAAATCTCTGGATCTTCCTTCTTCTGTCATTTGAGCTCTTTAATTTGTCTATTGACCCACTTGAATGGGATCCTTTTGACCTTGAATTCTGCCTGTTGATCATCCAGGTCTGGTGTGTTGTTGATCTACCAACAACTGGTTAAGGATGCATTTGCTTAACAATTGAGAACTAGTATTTCCCATGTTAAACTCTATTTGAGGTGTAGGGCCCTTTTTGCTGGCTGCCTGAGAATGATCATTCCAATTTTCTTCGAATGAGACTCCTTTGAGATTGTGAGGGAAGGAATTTGGGGTTTGCAGAGTCTAAATCATGATCACCCCTCTTTCGACTTCATACTAATGAGGGCCTTGATCTAAAGGCACTCTCTAATGGTCAGGGGCAGGTAGGATGGCTGGAAGGAGGACACTAAGGGCAGGAAACTGGTAAAGAAGTAAATGTATACAGGAGAAAATCCACACCTGGGATTAGCTATGAGGGTGGAAAGGAAGAGGTAAGTCTGAAAAACATTGTGCAAGAAGAATCCATAGAACCTGCTGACTAAATGGATGTACAGAGAGAAGAGGAGAGGGGAGTCAAAGAAGGCTAAATGGCTTCTAGTCTGTGACAGAGGTGGAGGAAATGCTCAACCATTAATAGAAATGGGGGATTTGGAGAGAGAGCACGGAGCTGTACAGTTTTAGATATATCGAGATTGGAGGAGGTAGAAAAACGCCTTCAGGTGGTTGGAAACTCAGGACCACTTTTTGTTGATGTTCAGGAGGGGAAGTGCAGAGAGCTAGAAACCCCAGTCCCAGGTAAAGACCAATCCAGTCAGGGGTCAGAGGCCACCAGAGGAGCCACACAGTCATATGCAGCCCTGACAATGTTGAGACTAATCAGCTGGAATATATTCATTTATTCTTTCCTTTTATTTCTCTTCCTTTTATTTTTTTAAACTTATTATAGAGAATTAAAACAAAAAAGGTAGAAAGAGTATAATGAACCCCTATGTTCCCATCACCCAGCCTCAACAATGATCAAATCACAGCCAATCCTGCTTCATCCCAACCCACACCCAGTTCTCCCTGTTATTATTTTGAAGTGAATTCCAGACATCATATCCTTCACAGTACTCAATATTTCAGTATGAATTTCAAAACATAAGGACTCTTTTTAACATAAGCACAGCACCATTATCATGCCTGAAAAGTTAACAATGATATATTATTAATACTGTCAGGTTCAAATTTCCATTTTTAAAAATCACTTTATTTGAATCAGGATTCAAATTAGACCACAGACTAGCATTGGTTGATAGGCTCTGAAGTCTCTTTTCCTTTGTGGATTCTCCCCACCCCCTTGTGGTTTACTTTTGAAGAAACGACGTTGTTTGAGCACAGAGTCTCCGCCGCTTTGGATTCTGCTGGTTGTGCTCCCTTGGTGCACCTTCATATGTTCCTCTGTCCTCTGTGTGTCCTGTCAATTGGAAGCCTTGACCAGATTCAGACCCATTTTTATTTTAAATATTATGCAAAAAGATGCCCAGTGAGGATGTTAGAGGGAGCCATGGTAGTGGATCGGATGGCAGGAAAGAGCGAGAGGAGTCTGAAGACGGATCACCCCTGGGAGAGGACCACACTTAAGGGGCAGGCAAAGAAAGAAGCACCTGGGAGGGAGAGGCGGAGGAGGAGCCAGCGAGGAGGCTGAGGCGGGATTGCTGGGCTGGGACGGGACCCGGGCATGCTCTGGGGAGTGCGCCGCTATCTCCACCTCAGTTCCTCCCCAGTCCATGCAGGGGCGGGGGTGGAGGCAGAAGCAGAGGTAGAACTAGCCACTTCGGCCACCTGTGTCCCAGCCACGCCTATCTAGCTGCATTGCCCAGCCTTTCTGCAGAGCCAGGAGCAACAAATCCTCTGCCTTGGAAAATTCTGGAAAGAGGCTGGGCCCGTCACAAAGGTCTCTCCAAAAGGAAATGCTGGTCAGAGTTTTTGAGTGCTGATAGGAGACCTGTGAGCTGAGCCGCACAGTCAATTCAGCTCCCCTTCTCTAACTGCCAGATACCCAGGAATCTCAGCATCAGTGGTGGCTTTGCTTTGGCGTCTGAGGCCTCTGTCACAGGGTTAACTTGGTACCAACAGGTGCCCAATGCTACTCATTAACTGCAAAATGTAGATTTGTATAAAGGATACTATAGCCTCAACCATGAAAATTAAGTCTTTCAGGAAATGGAACAAAAGATAGTTAGATTCTGATGGGGGCCGAGAGGGTTCTGGTGTGAGGAGTAGCCCTGGGCAGGTCTAGGTGGGGCTGCAAAGTGGGATACCCCAACATGAAGGCCCTGGGGCTTGGTAAATGGCCAGGGTCGGAGAAGACAGGAGATATGGAAGGAAAGGAAACCATCCTTGAGCATCGGGACAGGCGTTGTGCTGGTGCAGAGATACATGCAAACATTAACTTCTGGGGATGGGGAGTTAAAAATTGAGGTGGAAACTGGCATCTTTTGTTGCTCTTTCCCTCGAAGACAAAATTAATCCGCAGAATAAAAGGCGGCTTGCAAGGCGTGGATGCGAGCAGCAGGCAAACCCCCTCTGCCTGGCACCAAACCCTCTGCCAATGCAGCTGATTTCTTCACCAAAAGCTCCCTTAATAGGCTCTCAGCCTCAAACGTGGTTCAGGGTGTAGGGCCACCACTGTTGACGCAGCTGGTTCTGAGATGCCCTGGGGCATTGCTGGAGCTAAGCCCAGCACGGGGAATGACTCCAGCCTGCTGCCCTCAGGATTCCCACAGGCCACTCAGCCACCACCTTTTAAGGTAGGAGGGACATGTCTCCACCACCATCCAAACTCATCTGTAGAGGAATTCTGCTGGGAACTACTTACTGCCAAATGGGGCCAGGCTGGCTATTTCCAGACATGAGCCATTTTCCCTGTGCCCACTGAACCAGATGCAGGTCCTGTGATGCCCTCGCAGAGAAGCTGAAGAGGTCCATGGGTCAGCCCTGGTGAATGGTCAACCTCTTAAATCCCCCTGCAGGCCCAGGAGCCCCCAGGACAGCCGTTGGTGGTATGCGGCTCTGCCAAGGTGGCTGGCTGAGGGGGCGCTGTGCTCGGGAATCTGCCTTAGGCTTTCAAAGAACCACATGGCAGTAACAGAGGCAAAGCTAGCTGGTTTCACCCAGCAAGGAGGGTGGATTTAACTTCTGAGTGATCTGGATTATCACCAATGTTGTTTCCCTATTGGAGAAATTGTTTTTCCCTGATTATTGTTTTTTGAAAATTATTTTCTCCCTCTGACTTAAACAAATAATATAGGGAAGGTGATTAGAGGGAAAAAGTCCATGGGAGATATGCTTCAAAACCACAAACCTAGGGACCGGCCTGGTGGCGTAGTGGTTAAGTTCGCAGGCTCGCTTTAGCGGCCCAGGGTTCACAAGTTTGGATCCTGGGCACGGACCTAGCAGGGCTTGTCAAGCCAGCTGTAGCAGCATCCCACATAAAACAGAGGGAGATTGGCACAGATGTTAGCTCAGGGACAATCTTCCTCACAAATAAAAAAAAAAACCCACAAACGTGAGAAAAGGGGTAGTGTGGGAGAGAGGATTTTCTGTTTTTAATTGCAGTTGAAATGCACAGCAAAGTGCTATAGAAGTGAATTATGACACTAGAAATTCTCTGCCCAACTTCTGGTTGTTGATACATTTTAATCCTTTGTGTGACATTAACAGTTTTAGTGTATATTAATTATCCGTCACCTGGACTATTTATTTTAAATATAACTTCTGAACTAACAGATTTTATGTTCTTTTTGTTTTGTATATATTATATATATTTCATAATCTAGAGTAGAGAGAAACTCAGCACTTACTTTTAGAAGCTCATTCTCTGAAGTTGAAAGAGGTAAAAATGCATTTCTTCTCTTTATTTGTTTGATAACAAAGTCATTAAAGCATCCAAGACGTAAAAGTCCAAACTTAAACCTTAACATCAGTAAGATTTCAACAGATAATATCTAATGACCTCATATTCTCTGAAAGATAGAGTGTGTACATAAATAGATTAAAATAGCAAACATACATGGAATACTTACTAAATGCCAGGCACTAAGCACTTTACAGGTATTAACTCATTTAATTTCATTTAATCAAAAAAGAGGCCCTCCCCTTAAGATACAGAGGTCCCTCAAGGTGCATGCCTTGAGCTGAGTCCTTGTCTGGGTATGAGGTTCATGAGTGAAAGAGACGAGAATAACGAAGGTAGAGAGGTTGAGTAACTTGCCCCAGACTGCACAGCTGGTATGTGGCTGGGCAGGTTTCAAAGTCATTGTGTAACATCAAGAACACATTAAACTGCTGTGAGATATTTATAAATTAAGTTCTTAAAAAAATTAATATTTAATCATTCAACAGATTTTTTAAATCACCAACTATGTGAAAGCACATCTTTAAAGTAAACCATCATACAAATAAGTACAAAGTGATAGCGTAAGTCTTATGGAAACAACAAAATTCTTACCCTCAGTAATTTTAGAATCTAATAGATAATTGAGATTATGCTTACAAAAGTTTACAAGTTTGATTAATATTGTCAAAATGCTATATGGCTCTGTAACTAACTGATTTGTTGTTTTTGTTTGGTTACTGTCTTCCACTAGAATATAAACTCCCTAAAAAGAGCCATCTTGTTTACCTTGTGCCCTGCTATAGAGCAATGCCTGGTACACAGCTGGTGTTCAGTAAATGAACACTGAATGAATGAATGAATGAATGAGTGTATTTACCAGCCTTGTTGAGGCTGTGAGCTTAGACAAGCTCTCTGAGAATGAGACTGGACAATGAAGAGAAAAGAAAAATTGAGGAATTCTGTCATTGGAAGGATGGGAGTAAAAAGAGGAGAGAGAAAGCAATCAATGGGATGGAGAGCAAATCAAGAAAGTGGAGGGTCATGAAAGTCAAGAGTAAGGAGAAGTTTGGGAAGTGGTGAATAACATTAGGAAACACTGCAGAAAATTTTAAATGGATGAGAATTGGGAAGACACTATTGCATTTGGTCTTTGGGGATGGAAAAAAGGTAGCTGCAGAACAGAAAGTGGAGTGGAACCCCCTTTGCATAGGAATTTGGGAAGTAGTTAAGACACTAGGCAGGAAGTTGGGCAGTGAATGGAAGGAGAGATGACAGCATTGGGCATTTGCTTGCAGAATAAAAGGACATTGTTAATTCAGTAGAAAAGTGTTATGTTGTCACTTTGTCACTGTCTCAAGTGGGGGCTCCCTCTCACTCATCCTTTGTCATCAGAGAACAACAGGGGCCTTGAATTTCACAAGTGCCCTGGTGATGCTTCTGAGAATCTGAGCTTTGGACTCAGACTGCCCAAGTTTGAATCCCAGTTCTTCCCATTACGAACTATGTGACTTAGGAGAAATTACTTAATTCCCTAAATTTTATGATTGGTAAAGTGGGGATTCACTGACTCACTGAATCCCTACCATGTGCCAGACATTATTCTAGTGGCGGATTTTCCATACTGGTGGTAAATAGATTTCTATGCAATTCCAAAAATGTGAAGTCATCTAATATTTTAAAATTACATCTTGACTTGTGCTTCCAGGAAAATGGAGTAGATATACTTTTCCCTATTGCTCCCACTAAGTACAACTAAAAAGCCTGGACATTATATATAGGACATGAGAAAGCAGATAGGCTAGGGACTTTCAGATCCAAGGTACAACCTGGTGATGAGTTCCCTGGGTTTTCTTTTAGCCTTATATATCCAATACTTGGAGCTGAAGAAGCTGCCAACCTAGAAATGCCAATAGGAGCAAACAAAAAAAATTCCCAGCAAAAGCCTGTTTTCTCTAGGCAAAAGACCAGGAGAGGGGCAGCCTAATAAGACTTAAAACTTTTAGACAGTTACAACTTACTCCAGCTAAAAACCACAGGAAAAACAGTAGCCCCACTTCTGCCCACACCAGCAAAGGGGGAGTGGGAGCCCAGACTTCCTGCCTCACTAGGCTATAATTGCTCCTTCACCCCCACCCCAGTCACACACACACACTGAGGTAGTATCAGAGAAGGCCATAGGGAACTGGGACTTTCATCCCCACCTGACAATAACGAGGCCTCTACCCACTTGGTGTCAGCGGAGACCACATAGGGAGTCTGAACTTTCACCCATACTCAGAAGTAACAAGGCACCCCTCCCTATCCCTGTTGGGTGGTGACAGAGGAGGCCTAGTAGAGTCAAGACTCACCAGTGCCCAGAGGTAATGGGGCCACCTTCCTGTGGTGTCAATAGGGGCCACATGAGGAACAGTAACAAGGCATTCCAACCCCTCCCAACCAGGGTGGTATTAGTCAATGCCTAGTGGGATCCAGAACTCCCATCTCTGCTCAGTAGTAACTAGGGGCCCGTTCCCACTCCAGGATCAGCAGAGGCCAAGCAGTGACTCTGGACTTCTCCCACCACCTGGCAGCAACAAGGCAGTGTTCCTCCCTTCCCTTACCTGATTAGTCTCAGACAAGCCAGTTAAAACAAAAGGTTTAAGATCCAGAGTCTCATAATATCCAAAATGTCCAGGTTTCAACTGAAAGTCATTCATTACACCAAGAATTAGGAAAAGTTCAACTTGAAAGAAAAAAGATCAATAGATACCAACACTAAAATGAGAGAGATATTAGAATTATCTAACAAAGATTCTAAAGCAGCCATCTTAAAAATGCTTCAACAAGCAATTAGGAACATGCTTGAAAAAAGAAAAAATTGAAAGTCTCAGCAAAGAAATAGAAGATATAAAGGAGAACCAAATGGAAATTTAAAATGAAAATTAACTAAAGTTTAAAACTCAGTGGATGGGTTCAACAGCGGAATAGAGGGGTTAGAAGAAAGAAATCTGTGGATTGGAATATAGAGCAATAGAAATTGCCCAATCTGAGCAACAGAAAGAAAACACACTGAAAAAAAAAATGAACAGAGCCTCAGGGACCTATAGGCCCATAACAAAAAAATCTAACATTCAAGTCATCTGAATCCCAGTAGGAAAGGAGAAAGACAATCAGACTGAAAAAACACTTGAAGAAATAATGGCTAAAAGCTTCCAAATCTGGCTAAAGACATAAACCTACAGATTCAAGAAGTAAGTAAATCACAAACAGGATTAAGAAATCCCTATCAAGTCAAACTTCTCAAAACTAAAGACAGTATTTTTTCTTATATTTATTTAAATGTAAATTTATGCCTACTTAATATAATAAAATTTGGACCTATAATAGAAAGTAAAAAAAAACAACTAATGACAAAAAATCTTGAAAACAGAGAGAAACAACATCTTACATATACAAGAAAACCAACTTGAATGATAGCAGATTTCCCATCAGAAACCATGGAGGCCAGAAGGAAGTGGCACAAACATTTTTCAAATGCTGAAATAAAAACTGTCAACCCAGGGGCTGGCTCCATGGCCAAGTGGTTAAGTTCGTGTGCTCCACTGCGGCGGCCCAGGGTTTGGATCCTGGGCGCGGACATGGCACTGCTCATCAGGCCATGTTGAGGTGGCATCCCACATCCCACAACTAGAAGGACCTGCAACTAAGATATACAACTATGTACGAGGGGTTTGAGAAAACAAAGCAGGAAAAAAAAAAAAAGATTGGCAACAGTTGTTAGCTCAGGTGCCAATCTTTAAAAAAAAAAAAAAAAACCTGTCAACCCAGAATTTTACATCCACGAAAATATCCTTCAAGAATGAAGGAAAAATCGGGGCTGGCCCCGTGGCCAAGTGGCTAAGTTCGTGAGCTCTGCTGCAGGCGGTCCAGTGTTTCGTCAGCTCGAATCCTGGGCGTGGACATGGCACCATTCATCAAGCTACGCTGAGGCGGTGTACCACATGCCACAACTAGAAGGACCCACAACTAAGAATATACAACTATGAATCAGGGGGCTTTGGGGAGAAAAAGGAAAAAATAAAATCTTAAAAAAAAAAGAATGAAGGAGAAACCAAGACTATCGGCTGATGAAAAACAAAGAATTTGTCATCAGCAGATTTATCTTAAGAGAATGGCAAAAGAAGTTCTCTAAACAGAAAGGAAATGAAAAAGGAAGGAATCTTGGAATATCAAGAAGGAAGAAAGAACAAGAAAAAGAGTAAAAATTATGAGTAAATACATTTCCCTTCTCTTAAGTTTTCTAAATTATGTTTGACGGTTGAAGCAAAAATTATAAGCCTGCCTGATGTGATTTTAAATGTATGTAGAGAAAATATTTAAAATAATTATATTATAAGCAGAGGAGAGCAAAGGGATGTAAAGGGAGGTAAGGTTTCTACACTTGATTTGAACTGATAAAATATTAACACCATTAGACTGTAATAAGTTTTGCATATATAAAGTAATACCTGGAGCAACCACTAAAAAAGCTACAAAGAGATACACTCAAAAACACTACAGCCATAGGAGAATGTACAGAATAGTATAATTATAGAATAAAAGTTAAAGTAAAAAAACCCACTTTAGATAAAAATAGAATCCAAAAAAAATGTTCAAGTAATCCACAAAAAGCAAGAAAAATAAAACAGAACAAGAAATAGAACAAACAGAAAACAAAAAATAAAATGGCAGATTTAAGTCTTAACACCAATAATTACATTAAATGTAAATGATCTAAATGCACCAATTGAAAGACAGAGATTGGCAGATTGGATTAGAATATGACCCAGCTGAATGCTGTCTACAAGAAACTCACTTAAATATAACTATGTAAGTAGGCTGGAAGTAAAAAGATAGAAAAAGACAAGTCATACATACTTTAATAAAAAGAAAGCAGGAGTGGCTATCATATCAATAAAGTATACTTCAAACCAAAGAAATTCACCAGCAACAGAGAGAGACATTATGTGATGACAAAAGGATTAATCCACCAAGAAGACATAGCAATCTTAAATATGATAGAGGCACCAAACAGTAGAACTACAAAATATGTGAAGCAAATCTGAGATAGAATTAAAGGAAGAAATAGACAAATCCACAATTAGAGATGGAGAATTCAAGATCCCTCTCTCAACAACTGATAGAACAACTAGACATAAAACCACAAGGACATAGAACATCAACAAGCAACAGGATTTAATCAACATTTATAGAACACTTCACCCAACAACAGCAGAATACATATTCTTTTCAATTGTCCATGTAACAGATGCCAAGAGTTATAAGCAAATTTTACGACAAAGAAAAGTCCACTAATCAGACCCAAGGACATTTTAAATAGTTAGATATAAATATGGATTTTATTGGAGTTAGTTTATCAAAAGCAAAGATTTCAAATGAAATTTATTTTACTTTCATTGGGATTGATGTTGCCTGTATCTTATCTGCCATGACTGATAATTCCTTTCTTCTTTTTCAGGTAGGGGCAGCAACCCAAGACAGGGGAGGCGTTCACTTTTTAAGCAAACCAAAGTTACGAATATCTGGATTTACAAAGATGTTTTCACATTCACAGATGTTTTCACAAAAGACTGGCCAACATATTGCTCTACTGGAAGCTCCTCAATGTAAGCCTAAATTCTTTTTCCTAACTGAATAATACTATTTACATTCCACTTCTAAGGGCAATTTCTTACTTTAACTAAAGCACACATACAGTGGGAGAAAATTTACCAATGACAGGAAAATGCCCTTTGCCTCAGATAACAAAGTCTCCAAATCCTGGGCACTCTGGGTAACTGCAGAACCAAGCTCAGGCCTCTTGGTGCCCTGTGGATGGCTCCGTGGATAGGACAGGAGAGCGGCCTTTCAGCAAAGCAGTCATCCCTCAGAGCCACGCCTGACCCAGTTTCCTTTTCCTCTCCCCTCCTGCTGCTTCTAAGTGTATTTCCTAGGAACAGTCCACGAGCCAGGACCGGTGCACCTGCACTGGGGATTAGTTGAAATCGTGACTCTTCCTCTGGTAGGAGAAAAATATGCACCTATCTTTGACCTCTGGTTTCTCACCAGGACCCAGCTGGGTGGGTCTTTCAGAGTCCATACACCCTGAAGCACACACTGACTTAATTTTGATTCTGACATTCAGGCAACACAACATAAATTTCATCTAATCATCCATTCTGTCTCTCTCATGCACACACGCACGCACATGAAAAAGTCGCAGAGAATAAGAATTAGCTCCCCCAGAGCTAGTTTAAGAAGTGAGCAGAGCAGCTGTGTGGGGCGTCAGTCCGTACAGGACACTGAACATCACAGAAATCTGTTTCCATTAACTCAGGTCCGACAAGCAACTCCTCACATAACTATTAAATGTGAATTGGTCTCACTTCCACAGAAGACAGTGCCTTGAGTGGGGAAAACAGTCCTCGAGGGTACCAGCTCCATCCACATGACATGAATCTTGAAAATGTACTTAAATGAATATTAGTTTGGATGGAGCTCAATTATTAGCCTGCCTCATATTCCTAGGTCGAGCTCAGGGCCCAGGATGCCACTTCTCTTGTTTATTATGGTTCACATCTGAGCTAACCCTTCAGGAAACAAAATGAAAATCCTATTTTATTTTGTTCCTGTCCAAAACCAAGAGAAAAAAAGAAAACAGATAGTCAAGATGATTTAGAACTGTGTACTGTGTCAAGTTTTTGCTCAGAGGCACGCTAACTTGCAGTGTGGTTTACAGGCTTCAGGTTTATCCTCTTCCTCTCTTCTGTTACCTTTTCACTGTTTGAGGAAGCAAAGAGAGAGGGAGAGAGAAGAAAGAGGAAACCAAGGAGGAAAAAATGTCTTTCTTAAAGTTTTCTAGTGAGACAGTGAAACAGAAAGCTGACCAGATTGACTAAAATTTGATTGATGCTCCAGAATATGCCACTCTGGACAAGCAGTAATTTTTTAAATTTATTTTTAAAGATTGGCACCTGAGCTAACATCTGTTGCCAATCTTTTTCTTTCTCCTTCTTCTTCTCCCCATACCCTCCTAGTACATAGCTGTATATTCTAGTTGTAGGTCCTTCTGGTTGTGCTATGTGGGACACCGCCTCAGCATGGCCTGACAAGCAGTGCTGGGTCTGCGCCCAGGATCCAAACCAGTGAAACTCTGGGCTGCCAAAGCAGAGCACGCAAACTTAACCACTCAGCCATGGGGCCGGCCCCAAGCAGTAATTTTTCAAAAAAAAGATTTATGAAGAATGATCAACTGGAGAGTGATTATCCACTTCTTGAAGAGTCTTTTATTTTTTAATAAAAAGGAGTTATGAGAACATTTCCTTAAAAAGTGACCTCCTCTAATTTATTTAAAATACACTTTGGATTCAAATATATATGGAAATTGAGTATATACTCAAGATGGCTGAGGGAACTGGTTCAACTGGGCAACCATCTGCAGATCCACCTCACATCTTGCTTCAAATTCATTCCATGTGGATCCAAATGTAAGAAATCAAAACACAAAATACTAAAATAAATCATGGCAGAAACGTTTTTTATAATCTTCAAGTGGGCAAAGAATATTAAAAAATTAAATCAAAGGATAAACAAATGGCTTTTAAATATATAGATGATGTTTAAATTCGTCCATAAGATAAAGGCAAATGAAACTATACTGAGAAGTGATAGAAATACATAAATCCTAAGGTTCCATTCCACCCTGGAAATCCTTACAAATATTGGCAAAGGTTATTATGCAGGCTTTTCACAGAATATTACATGGGATGGTGGCCTGAACAACTTGATTCGGTTATTAAAGGAAAGGCTGACTTCAGAAGGCTGGAGGCCATAGGTACATTTGGATTATAATTACAAAATGAGATACCATCCCACTAAATTACGTTCTGTTGAGTAAAAATTATTACGAATATTTTCCTATGACCTGTTTTTTTACTAATTTTTTTACTAATATTTTAGTAATATGATGTTTGTATTACTAAGCTAAAATGTGGACTAAAAAATCATATACAGAATATATCAATTTTCTATATTATATGTATGCCAAGGAAAAAGATTGGAAGGATACAGACCAAAATGCTAATGGTGGTTATCTCTTACCTGGTAAAACTATGGTTGATTTAAAAAATATTTTTCCGGGCCGACCTGGTGGCACAGGGGTTAAGTGTGCATGTTCCACTTCTGTGGCCTGGGGTTCACCAGTTCGGATCCCGGGTGCAGACATGGCACCACTTGACAAGCCATGCTGTGGTAGGCGTCCCACATATAAAGTGGAGGAGGATGGGTAGGGATGTTAGCTCAGGGCCAGTCTTCCTAGGAAAAAAGAGGAGGATTGGCAGCAGATGTTAGCTCAGGGCTAATCTTCCTCAAAAAAATAAACAAATAAATAAAAAATATTTTTCCTTTATAGTTTTGTATTTATTTTCCCCCCAAGATTTCTGCAATGAGCACATGTAAGTTGCTTGTGTAAAAAGAAAATAAACACATTAATTTTTTTGAAATGATCTCTCAGGAAAGAGTATACATTCCCCTAAACCAAGAGTCAAACAAATCTGTTTCTAACAACTACATGGAACAGCTTACAAGAACCGGGTGGAGGAAGTGTCTTTATGTTGATTAAGTGAGAACTTTCTCAACTTATTAGTCAACTTAGAAGATTAGCATAGGATAAAACCACTGCAACAAGAAATGAATAGAAGATGTAGTGAAATAGCTTCTCAAATCATTAATGTTGAGTTCCTAAAGAATCTTTGTAGCGGGGCCGGCCTGGTGGCGCAGCGGTAAAGTGCGCACGTTTCGCTTCTCGGCAGCCTGGGGTTTGCCGGTTTGGATCCCAGGTGCGGACATGGCACTGCTTGGCAAGCCATGCTGTGGTGGGCATCCCACATGTAAAGTGAAGGAAGATGAGCATGGATGTTAGCTCAGGGCCAGTCTTCCTCAGCAAAAAGAGGAGGATTGGCAGTAGTAGTTAGCTCAGGGCTAATAGTCCTCCAAAAAAAAAAAGAATCTTTGTAGCACCCATAAACAAGATCTTGTCGTTTTAAAAAGCTCTTGAACTTGTTCTCGGAGAAATTCAATCTGTAGGCCTGTGTTTAAACACACAGGATATTATTATATAACTAAGCAGCTGGAAAAATTGTGATTAAAAATAAAAGGGAAAACACACAGTGCACCAAGGCAGGACTGTTTAATGAGAAAAGGGTGACTCAAAGGAAAACAGTATTTGTACAGGGTAATAAAAAGTCAACCCACAGACTTATCAAATAGGGATAAAGACATTCTATCTCATATCTGATTCCAAAGGTACTGCTTATCTAAAGACATGATCACACTAGGAAAAAATGCCAATAATATCCATAAGCATATACACAAAATATGTTATGGAACATTTATGAGATACTTATTATCAAATTTCATGCCATTCTTAACATCCAAACACCTTAATGTGTCTACAATTTATCTTTCCAGCATCACTTTTTCTTCCTCATACCCTGCTTTCCAATCACACCTGACAGCCTAGTTTCTTTTTTTCCTTTCGGTTTTATTGATATAATTGACAGACGGCACTATATAAGTTTAAAGTGCACAGCATGTCTTGGCTTACATATATTGTGAAATGATCACCACAATAAGTTTAGTTAACATCCATCGCCTAATATAGATACAAAAAAAGAAAAAGAAAGTGTTTTTTTCCTGTGGACAACTAGTTTCTTAAATGCCGTATGCACTGCCAAAGTCACATCTTTGACACACACTTCCAGTTCATCCTTCACATGTCAGCCCCAACCCAGTAACATTCCCTGAGAGGCTACCATCCCACCTAATACTACAACTTGTTCATTCAGACCACAAAGATTTATGGAGCAGCATCAGGATCTACGGCAGGTTCAGAGGATACAAAGAATAATAAAACATTGTCTTGCACTCAGAGAACTTGGCTAAGCGAGGGACAGACGAGTGAACAATGGTTAAAATGCAGTCAGCTTTTGGGGAGAAAGCAGGGCTACGCTTTGCAGAACTAGCCTTGAGCTGGCAATCACTTGTTATTAATCCACCATCCACAAATTCTAATAAACCACTAGTCACAAACTGAAGTGCTTATAGACTAAGCAGGTAACATGAACGTATGAATCAGGCTGGGTGTGGGATGGTAGCTCATGCTGGGACCTGTGGCCAAGTGGAGAGTACACTTCTGTCTAAAGGCATTCAATTTCTCATTCTTTTTCAAATGCTATGCCTGCGAAACAAAATATGCCTGCAAGCCTAATTTGGGTCAGGATGCCAGTTTGCATAATAACATTAACACTATTTATCGTTTACTACAAGTAGGTCACTGTTCCAGGCACTTTACATATATTAACTCATTTACCCCTCACAACCAGTGAGGTTGATATTAAGATTTTGCCTATTTTACAAATGGAGAAACTGAGGCATGGGAGAGTTCACATAACTTGCTGAAGTAACCCAGCTATTAGGTGGTGGAACTGGAATTTGCACCCCGGCAGCCAGGATCCCCCAGAGCCCACACTCTTAAGTGCTTCATAGCACTATATTCTACTGCTCTGTATATAAACTTTTAAAATTGCTTTATTCAGCTTATACTACAGAATGAGTTACATAATCATTTGTGCCAAATATTATTGCTTTTGGTCACTGAACAAACTCAACTAATATATATAGATTTGATAGAAAAATTCACGTCCATCCACCTATTCATTGTCCCACAAATTTAATCACAGTCCCTGTCTACCACTCTCTCTCATTCAAAGGGTCTTAATTTTTAAGAAGTAGCTTTGCAGTTACCCAAGAAATACATGTTCATTATAGAAAAATGCAGGTAGAGTGAAGGGTCCAAGTTATTTAATATATTCTCACAGTCACTCTCCCAACTCCTCTGCTCCACCTCTGATATCCTTCTCAATTCTAGGTGTATGTGGTTTCTTGCTTAGTCCTCCTTACAGGTAACAAACAGTGTTACAATGTTTATTCTCCAAAATAAGGATAACTTTTTTATGTTTTCAATAACCATCTGCATAATGTTTACAACTCTGTAGATCTTTCTGGACCAGGCAACTGATTAGGCCAGAGTCTTCAGAGAAGTACTATTTATATGAGCTAAAACCACCCAAGGGCATCTAGGGATTTGCTAAAATGGCAAAATATAAACTCCCAAGTCTTTGATCTTAATTCAAAATGTTTCACTAGACCAGGGGATGTGGCCACTTTTTATTCACAAACTTTCCTAAGAACTCTGGACATTACATTCTGTTCTTTCTACTAAGTTAAAAACCAAAAAATTAAGCATTTTGACATAGGCTATCCATTCTGTCTCCTGGCCTTTGTTCACACTACTTCCTCAGCCAGGATCTCCCCACAACATCTACACCCCCATCCCACACCCTGGCTCCTATCCAACCTTCCTGGCACTCCTCACAGGCCACCTCCTCTGGGAAACCTTCTTTGACCTCAAAAGTGGTGACGTGCCCTTCCTGAATATACCCAGTGACCAGAACTTAATATCTATTTCAGTTGCCTATTTCTCTCTCACCTAATTTGTAGCTGGAATTTATATAGTAACTACTTTTTTACCCAATTTGCACCTAAACTTTATGCAGTAATACTTACTTCTGAAAAAAGTTGTGCCCTTGAGCTTTTAAACTTGGCAGTTTATTTTACAATCTCAAGAATGGCAAAAATACATGGGTTGTGGGCATTGGCATTGAACTAACAGGGGTTTGGCATCCAGCTCTAGTTCTAATGGCTGTGTGACCTTGAACTTAACATCTCTGAGGCAGCTTTTTCATTTGGAAAATGAAGACCTACTTTCTCTGTAAAGATTACTGTCCAGAGCACACCACCTGTCCCAGTTCACGCTCAGTAAGTGTTAGCTGCTGTTGTATTTCTCAAGAGTAATTTAACCTCATCAAAAGGAAAGCTTTAACCAAAAGGAGAGAAAGAATATTGTCAGTTGATTGGGAACTATCCAAAACATTTTATAATGGTATGCAACTTTACCTACATTGAGATTAATTTGTAATTTATTACTTAATTAATAAGTAATAGTAATAATAAGTAAATAGTAAGTGATAGTAAGTAAAATATTACTTAACATTTGTTATCTGTTACTCTCCACCAATTCATATTAAAATACACCTTAAATGGTTTGAAAATATATCTGACTCCTTTAAAATGCTCTAATAAAAAAACAGATTTGAAAAATGAAAAAGAATGTTGCACCATATAAGGGAGTATCTTTCATGCCAGGAAATACTATAGTAACTGTCTCTGAACTAAACTTCAGCTTACATCTGGGACGCTGGAAACTTCAGTTCTTCCAAATCTCTAAGCATCAAATTTAAAACAGCTTAGAAAATATTTTGAAATTATTTACTTAATAGTAAATTGGCTTCTGAGCCAGGAAAGAATCCAGTAATCCAGTTGAGTGTTTAAACTCTTTTTTTTAAAGACCCTTAGATAGCAACCAAGATGCTTAGCAGCTAACTGCTGCCAAATTTAACCTGGGAGGACCCACAGACAATGCTTACTACTAACAAAGACTATCTCTAATGAACTCTTCAACCCTGGATCATTCAGAATCCCAAGAGGAAATGTGTCCCATTTCCTTGTACTTGCCTTTTCCAGATAAGCTAAAAGGCTTTCTAAAGCCACAGAATTAAACAAGAGGATATTCTTTCAGCATCACCATCAACCACATTTCACATTCATTCAATTATACATCTATTAATCTCTCATTTGTTAATCTCTACTTTCTCTAAATCAGAAACCATTCTAAGTACTGGGGGATCCCTAGATGAATAAAACAACGTGTTCTTGTCCTCAGTTTAAGTTCTATTTGCAAAAATGAAATATTTTAAGCCATCACTAAGTCACAATTGAACTAGGTGCTAATTCATAGCTGAAACCAAACGCTTAAGAGAAATGGGATAGAGGAACAGTCCCCAGAGGTGTGAGTGGGCCAGAGGCAAGACTACTGAAAAGGCAGGAAAAGGAAACTGTAGCATAATCCTGGTCTTGGGAGGCAGAGACCCATTCAGAGTCCACATCTGCCAATTAGCAGCAATGCAAACAATTTTGGGGTTTTTTGTAATTAGCATGTATTTTACAATTTAAATTTTTTAATTACCAAAAACATTCCTTATTTCATAGAGTTTTAAAGACAAAATGAGAACATTGGTAAAAGTATACAGCACAGAGCTTATAACCAGGAAGCTCAACTAGTATACTAGTTTTTAAAAATGTACTATCCCATTAATCAATATTCAATACAATTTTGTTAATATAATTTATATTAATACACACTTTGTTAATATAATTTTGTTCAATACCATTTTGTTCATGATCACGATAATACTGGATGACAGACAGGAAAGCAGTGGGGTTAACAAAAAAGTAAAAGCTTTCGTATCAGCCAAACTTAAAAGTCAAACTAGGATTCCAGCTCTTGCCAGCCAACTGTCTTACTTTAAAGCAATTATCATCATGGATACATTTCCATAGAGCTGTAAAGATTAAATGTTAGGAATATAAAGCCCTCAACATAGTGACTGACATTCTTCAAATATTAACTTCATTCTTTGTGACCCAGCTGTAAAGCACACCTGAGTTCTGGCTGCTCAGCGTGCAAACCCAGCACTACTTGAGCCCTTTCCCCCTTTTCCAAGGGCAAGGAATGGAGGAGACATTCCTTCTCCCTGCCCTCTGGTGGCTGAAGCATGGCCTGCAGCCTAAGCACAGCTAAACCAATGCTCCCTCCTGGGGCTCGGACTTCACAGAGATGGTATAGCAGACACTGTCTGGGCTGGTGGTGACAATGAGGGTGCCTGAGGCAGAATATCAGCAGTATCTTGGCACCCTATCCCCACAGCAACTTCTCATCAATTCTGTGAGCTACAGACATCCACTGAATAAATTCGTTTCTCCTTAAGTAGAGAGTCAGTTCCTATTGTTTGCAAAACAAGAATACTAACTAGTATACTTTTGTAAAATGAATAAAAGTAAAATTAATACAAATATTATAAAATTATTTTAATATCTTTTTCTCCATGACCGAATATACAAAGATAATGGAAGTAATGTATTCTTCTGCTGTAAAGATGGGTGGAATATATCAAAATCCACTTGTTGAATTTTCTTTAAATAGTCCTCCAGAGCAACCTGGAAAAAGAGAATAATGGTCACTGGGTCATAGAATGGTTACGTCTTTAAAAGAAACTATAGAAAAGTTACAAGTATTAAGGCTATCTTAGTTTTCCTGAGATGGTCTTCCACACGCTAAGAATTTAAATGAGAATTTTAAAAGGAAGAGGGAAAATAAAGACATCTACGAAGTTTCTCTTAGATCAGTAAAACAGGGTCATAGAGCTAGTACTAGAACTCTCAAGCCAACTCTCATCAAAAGTTATTGTGTTCTGGTCAAAATGTAAAAGGTTAGAGAAATTAGTTTGCCAAGTCTTATTACTAGATTCTGTAGAATACAAAAGGGATGTTTCAACCAAGGAAAAGAGACACCACCACCACTCCCTGCCCGAAGAAACGAGGGGAAGCTCAAGTTGTTTGTTTAAAAAATTATTTTGTGCACAAAGTTTATGGGTCTCCATGTTCTTGCTAGAAAAGATTTTACAACCATGGAGAACAATCATAGGTCCCTATAAATGTCACCCCATGCTTCCCCCATCACACAAAACTTGATAAAGCTTTCATTGGGATGTGGGCAGGATGGGAAACATTGACGATGAGCAGTGCTCTTTATTTTATGGTTTTCAGTTATTTTTATTAATTTATAAATTATTTTATTTCAGTAACTTTTTTATTAAACAGAGAAGCCGCTTGGTTTTGCACCGCACAGTTGTAAGAGGCACCACTCCCTTCTCAGTCCATGTGCACAGCTCCCCCCAGAGTTCTGCAGCACAACCTGTGACTCCAACAGAGATCATGCCTGTGGATTCTCTAGAGTATACAGATGAGTAAAAAGAAAACAAAAAGGATTATATTTTCTCCCAGACTTTTTTTTCTATATGCTTATAAACAGATGAGTGTACATACAAAAAAATACCCACTTTTTAAACCCTGAACTTATAAATATGTACAACAGGAGATATGTGCATGAATGTGAACAGCTGCCTTGTGTTATATTAGCAAAAAACCTGGAAACAACCCAGAAGTTTTCTTTGACAAAAAAAAGATAAACTGTTCACACAATGAAATATTATGCTGCAGTGAAATGAATGTGCTATAGCTAGAAGCAATAATAAGGATAAATCGTAGAAACGTGTGTCTGTGTGTAACCTAGAAGACAGAAACAGAAATTGGTCCATTTTTATAAAGCTCAAAACCAAAACTAAGCAATGTATTGTTTAGGAATGCATAAAATGGGGGAAAGCTTTTTTCGAATAAAAGCAAGAGAATAATAAATACAAAATTCAGGATAGCTTCTTGGAGGAGCAAGGCAAGAGGCAAGGGGATGAGATGGGGAAAACACATGAGTGCAATTTAATAGTGATATTCTAGTTCCTGGATTGAGAGGGAGTTCATGGGTTTTCACTATGTTATGCTTTATAATACATGCATACATATATAAATATATCATATTCATTTGTAGATATCAAATATTAAACATTTTATAAGAATAAAAAACTGAAGATATTTTAGTGTACTTTCTTTCACACGTTCTTTCTTTGTGGACAAAAAGAGCTTGTGTTATTCATCATGTTCTGTAACCTGCTTTTCTATCACTTAATATATTGTGATCAACTTTCCATCTTTACAAATTCTATTATGTTCATTTTAACAGTTTTATACTACCCAATTTTAAGGAAGCTAATGAAATCAAGGTACAGGGACATGATACAATACTATACAGCCATTAAATACTGTATTTATAGATATTTTTAATGATGTGGTTAAATGCTTGATAAATAGAACACTGACATATAAAGTGTTATTTCAACTATACACAAAAATTCATTAAAAAAACAGAATAAATAGCATTTATCTCTGGGTTCTGGAATTACAGGTGATTGCTATTTTCTTCTAATATTCTTTTTAGATTGTCCAAATCTCTATCATGAGAACGTATTCCTTTTATAATCAGGAGAAGATTCCCTTAAAATACAGATGAAATGTGACCTCAAAATTAGAGTTCAAATGGACATTCACAAATTTGGTTCAAAGGAAAGTTTGTCTACTGGTAAATAAACTGTTCAAGGTAACAAATTCATTGGGAAATTCTCAGACATCACAATTTCTGAATATGGCTTAAAACCTCATCTATGGAGAACATACTAGACCCTAGACTAGTCATTTTCAAATAGTTTTTTAAACAGTAAAACCTTTTCTTTGAACAACATAATTAACAGATGTGCCCCAGCTGGAATGAAGATGTAGGATAGAAGCAGTCCCTCCGGAACCACCATGTAGTCCCTTCAGTTTCTCGTGGCACAGAATGGAAACTGAGAGGTGGGCTCCAGCCTCAAGCGTTTCTGATTCAGTAGGGCTGCAGTGGGGCCCAAGACCTGCATTTCTAACAAGTTCCAAGGTGAGGCAGTTATTGCTGGTCCAGGGACCACATCATGTGAACCACTAGTCCAAGTCAGTGGTTCTCAAGCCTAGCTGCATTTCACAATTACTGGGGGAGTTTTTAAAAAGTATCAATGCCTGGATCCAACCTCTTAGATACTGTGATTTAACTGGTTTGGGGAGGGACCCAACATTGTTTTAGGTTTTTTCTGGAAGCTCCCCAAGTGATTTTAATGGGCATCCAGAGTTGAGAACAACCATTTTCACAGAAGTGAACAAACCAAAGTCCTTAACCTTCATGGAGCTTAACTTAGAGAGAAAGTTAAAACAGGTGATGGCACATCACCAAATAACCATGAAGACCAAATAACCATCAAAAACAGTGATATAGAACAATTTTCATTGACACATAAAGAGATGCTTGACACCCCATTTATACAAAAAACATACATGTAATTACATGAACTTTTTAAAAGGTCCAGAAAGATGAACAGACATTATCTCTGGAAAGGATGGAACTGTGAGAGGATTCTGAGTTCTTCTTCTGCCTCCTCTTATATTAAGTGAACATCTAAAACATTAATATATTACTTCTATAATAAGCAAACCCAGTAAAGAAACAAAATGATTTCAAATAGTCAGATCTGAGACTCAGGACAGAAGATGTGAAGGGACAGAAATGAATCTTTAAATATATTTTAGGGAAAAAGGTAGAAGATATGTTTGGTATTGTACAAAGTGCATGAAATTTCAATTTTCAAAGATCGCAAATCTTTTAACCTTGGTTTCTATGTATAAAATGAAGTAAACCGTGCCTAGGATGTCTAGGAATACTGTAAAAAATGACCTAGCTCAGAGCCTGTCCATAATAGATGCTAAATAATTGGAAGCTATTCTCATTTCTTTATGTATCTTACAACAATGGTGCCCAAACCTGGCTGCACATCAGAATCATCTGGGGAAGTTTTTATTTTTATTTTATTTTTTATTTTTTAAAGATTGGCACCTGAGCTAACAACTGTGGGCAAGCTTTTTTCTTTTTCTTAAAGATTGGCACCGGAGCTAACAACTGTTGCCAATCTTTTTTTTTCTTTTTTTCCTGCTTTATCTCCCCAAATCCCCCCTGGTACATAGTTGTATATCTTAGTTGCAAGTCCTTCTAGTTGTGGCATGTGGGATGCCACCTCAACGTGGCCTGACGAGTGGTGCCATGTCCGTGCCCAGGATCCAAACCAGCAAAACCCTGGGCCACCACAGTGGAGCGCACAAACTTAACCACTCGGCCACAGGACCGGCCGCTGGAGAAGTTTTTAAAATCGCAGATTCTCCTAGGAATACCCCGCTCCTCAACCCCAAGAGTCTTATTTAATAAGAATCTCTATTTTTTAACAGCTTTCCAGGTTATTCCATTGGTCTGTGAACGACTATTCAGGAACCAGTGCTACAATACGGTCACTATGAGAAAAAAATTAATAGAATAAGTAATACTTAGATAGCTGTAAGTAGCCTAATAATCCTATAAGGTAGTTTCTCCTATGATTTCTATTTTATCTGAGGAAATTGAGGAACACAGTGGTTAAGGAACTTAAGGTTCCATGGCTAGTAAGTGGCAAAACAGATGCAAACCGATGCAGTCTGGCTGTAGTCAGCACTAATGATGACTCCACTCACCTGCCTCTGGGAAATAAGGCATGACCATCACCATTTGTTAGTTGCAGAAGGCAACTAACAAAACCCACAGTAAGGGAGGGAAACGAAAACAAAGACTCCAAAGTAAAGAACTGCATTGGGAACCTTATAAAAGAGAAAAAGATATCACACGCATCTGCTTCGTTAATTAAACAGTCTTCTCTGTTAATCCACTTACCGTCTGAAGAAAGGCAGGAAATGCTTTCACAGGAACACTTTTGTGAAAGGACCTCGCCTAAAAAGGAAGACAAAAGGAAACTGGTTTGAAACATAAATATTTCTGGAAACAAACCTGTTCCCTCTGAAAGTGAACATGAAACAACACTAGCAGTTTAACAACAGGGCTAGTGCCTCTCTCAAAAGTAAAAAACAGCTCTCATCTCCTGCCGATTAGGATTAACTTTCTAAGCCTAAAGGACTCAGGAAAAAGTTCTACATGAGGAATTCCATTCTTTTTACAGATTGGCTTTGGCCTTTTCTACCTTATAACATAACTGCGACCCTCTAGCTCCGTGCTAAGCGGTAAATGAAGAAATAACTTGCGTTAAGTCCCAGCACTTCCCCAGCTGAAATCATCATTCTCTCCTGTTTACACGAACCTAAGATCCTCCTGGCTGATCTTCCTGCTTCTGTGTTCCCCAACCTTTAATTCATTCCATACAGCCAGCCAAATTAATGTCCTTCAGTCATTGTTTTATTTTTACTTTAACCTAACTCCCTGCTAGATCAAGTCTCAACTATTCACCTTGGAATTCAAAGGTCCCCACATCTTGACTCTAACCTCATCTATCCAAGCCAACTCCCGACCACTCTGGACTGTGAAGCCCTACCCTAATTCCCCTCAGGCCGATGCCAATCATCCAACACTCACCAAGCCCACTCCTGTCTCCAGGTCTTCATTTATATTGTCAGATGCCGCCCCTACTTACTGACTCACTTCTTAACCCGCTACACTCTAGTTTTACCCCTGTCCATTAAAATAGCTCTCTTCAAGACCATCTACGATTTACTAATAACCATACCCATCTTTTCTCTTCAATCTCTATGTAGCATGCAAAACTTTAACATTCCCCTTTCTTGGACTTTGCTCCTCCCTTGGTTTCCAAGACACTGACTCAGTTCTCCCACTTCTTTGCTCATTCTTTCCTTCTTCTTAATAAATAGCCCTTTCCTCTTCTACCTGAGAAATGGAGGAGGGCCCACAGGTTCTGCCCTTCATCCATCCTCTTGTCTAGATGCACATTCTCCTTGGGCAACACCATCCAAACTTAAGAGCTTTAACCATAAGCCTTCTATGTGGATGAGTCCTAAATCTCTATCTCCAGTTCTGACCTTCCAAAGTCACAATCCTGCATTCTTCAATAGCCTATCTTCCTAAATGTCCTCTAATCCCTTTAAATTCAATGAGGTCCAGCAGCTAGTCCAAAGTCTACTGATCAGCATCTTGTATAGCACCGCTTTTTCACTGTAGTCTCTGAATGGCACCATCACCATCTATACTTGAGCTCTGTGCAGGCTTCAACTTTCCTTCTTCCTGATCCTGCTACAATCCAAACAGTTATCATGTTTGGTTGATGCTACCTCTGTTGTGTGTGGGTGTGTGTGCGTGGATGTGGACATGGACGTATACACATACACATACATATATACACATATACAAACATCTACTCTTTGTAAATCAGACATTCATTAAATGCGGCAATAAGGAGATTATTACTAGTGAAGGCAGGATGGAAGCTAAATAATAGCACAATGAAAAGTGCCAGAGTGGTGAGGGCCTTGAGGTAACAATGAATGCAAACCAATTATTCAAAAAGAGGTTAATTGGGAGGGAAAAATAAGAAAAAGAAGGGTTCACAGGCTGCCTGTAACTTCAGAAGGCAGTAGCAACAAACCAGAAGATAAAAGGGGCAAGTTATCAGAGAGGCCAGCTGAAAACACCATCTGGGAACTGCCGAGGATGCAAGGTCCTGGAGGAGGTAGCAGAGGCACTGCCCTAGGCAAGGCAGAGAGACACGCTGTTCCCTGAGAGACAGAGAAACGGTGAGCAGATGGATCAGAGGGAGCCCAGCTGAGGAAGCTCAGGCTTGACTGACTCAGTAAAGGGTATATGCATCCGCTGAAAAGGAGAAAGGGTGATTTTTAAAAACTGGAGAAAGTTTACAGTAGTCCCTGAGATAAATCTACCAGGATTTCAGTGAGAGACAGAATACAGACCACCAAGTAGAGAATACTACAACAATGCTCTAAGGATAGCCATACCTAGAAATGATAGTTTCCTAAACAATTTGGCAAAAAGAGGCTACTTACATGCTTTAGGTGTAAGTGGGCCTGGCTGGCAATGTCATATATCACATCTCTCACATTTTTATCTCGGTTCTTTCGTAGAAAATCCTCTTGTGAAACACCATGCTGTGTGGGAAAATATACATTATATTAGGAATGCAAAAGCAAAGTTAAAACTAACTTAGCTTGGGGCCAGGCCCATGGCCAAGGGGTTGGGTTCGCGCACTCCGCTTCAGCTGCCCAGGGTTCAGATCCTGGGTGCGGACCTAGCACTGCTCATCAGGCCATGCTGAGGCAGCGTCCCACATGCCACAACTAGGACCCACAACTAAAAAATGTATACAACTATGTACTGGGGAGCTCTAGGGAGAAGGAAAAACAAAATCTTAAAAAAACAAAACAAACAAGAAAAACTAACTTAGCTCAAGAAAACAGATGATAGAACAGTATGTACAGTATAATGCCTATTTTATTTTAAAAATATACATATGTGTATAAATATGCGTGTGTGTGAACACAGAGATACACATACATACACACACACTCCTGGAAGAATACGCAACAGGATGTTAATTAACAACAGTTGTAGGTAGAACAAAAATATACAAGAAAACATATAATAAGTTTAAAAGAACAGACAATAATGAATCTCATACAGAAAACAAAAGTTCTCATAAACAATACTCTTTTTTAATGGATTACTTCCTCCTTTAAAATAAAATAAAGAACGGGTTAAGGTGAACACTAGGAATGATTACTGGAATTGCCTGGAAGGGAGTAAAGCATCAACATGAAGCTACACCAAGTGAGGTTCTCTGGAACTCCTTACTCATAGCTCTACCACAGACCTCAAATGCCTGACTGATACCCTTCTGACTTGATAACTCTGGAGCAAAAAAAGCACTAACATTCGTTTCAAAGCAGTTACTTGAACAGACTAAGCAAAGAACCAAGAGATGACATCCCCACATTCCCGAGGTAAATTATTAGAGGGTACAAGTAACAGCCTTACCAGCATACAAATATCCATGGGAAGGAACACCCTTCTTCTGCTACCATGATAGGGCATTGCTCTCAAGCAAGTGACAATGCCTTGTGCTTTTCCAATGTGACTTGCAGCATGATCTGCATGAAGATCCTTTATACCTATGATTTCAGAAATTAAACAACAGGACTGCTCTTTTCTCTTTAAATGCATAACAAATCAATGAAAGCAGTTTAGAGAAATCACCTACACATGTAAAAGCAGTTGTTTATCCTACGTTTTATATCTCAAAAATGGGATTTATGAGAGCAAAACTGGGCAGAAAGACAAATTGACCGTTTACCACTAACAGCTTTCTGAACCTCAACTTTTAAATGAGTTTTCCTCAGACTACAACACATCAAGAACACATTTAGAATTTTAATCAGCTATCATGGAAAAATACTACAAGTCTTTCATTTCTCCTCAATGCAATTCCCATATGGCCTCATTCTAAGCATGCGCTTAACAAACATTCTGCTCTTTGTGCCCTCCTTTCATTGTGCTGGCAAACATGTCGCCAAATGTGCAGGCTGAACAGAACTGGGAAATTCAATAGGGACTGGTGTTATTCCTTTAGGGTGACATAAAGATATACTACCTTCTTCAAAAGAGATGGTATTGCTGTTGGCCCAAATAATTTCCTCGTTACAATAAGATCTCACCAACGTAGAACAAAGTCAGATTAGGAAAAATACCATCTAAATTACTTATTTTTTAAAAAAAAGGAAAGAAAAAGAAAAACCTCATAAAAACTTTTAGAAATGCAGTTTTATTTCTTCCACTTTTTTCCTTTTTTTTACATGGGGAAGTACTATTGACAGGGAAGGAAGAGTCAGGCCACAGCCCTTCCAAACCGTACAAAATGCTCTTATAAAAAAGCAGAATCAAGGGGCCGGCCCAGTGGCACAGCAGTTAAGTTCACACATTCCACTTCAGCGGCCCAGGGTTCGCTGGTTCGGATCAGGGGTGCAGACATGGCACTGCTCAGCAAGCCATGCTGTGGCAGGCATCCCACATATAAAGTAGAGGAAGATGGGCACAGATGTTAGCTCAGGGCCAGTCTTTCTCAGCAAAAAGAGGAGGACTGACAGCAAATGTTAGCTCAGGGCTAATCTTCCTCAAAAAACAAAGCAGAATCACCTGTAATTCCCAGATCATTAATTACAGTATTCCCATGAGGTAGCTCAAGTACTTTTCTGAGAGTCTGAGTATTCGGATTAGCCTGTACTTCAAAGAAAGATATATATTCCCTTTCTTGCTCAAAAATAAAATTGCTGTTCCTCTATAGACAGTGCAAAGAAAAACTTCAGTGTTAAACTGGTTAGATTGTCAAATTATGAAAGAGTGAAGTCTGAAAGGTGTTTTCTTTGAAAAAGAGGAGTATAAAATAGAAAAAAAAAACTTACCCAATATTTCTAGTGTTAAATAAAGAAGAGAGCTCTGTGTGTTTTCAGCATAACTTTCCAGTTCCTGGATATTACGATACGCTTTGTCATCCAAATTCTTTTCCTACAGTCAAACAAAATGCAAATAAAGTTTGCTGACTGTCAATATTTTATAAAGAAAAGGCACTATTTTTTGCCCTAAAGAACTGAATAATAGAGAATTAAAATATTAGTATATATTTAGCACAAAATAAGATTAAAATACAGATAAAATATTAAAGTCTTACACATTCAATACCTACAAATCACTCCTCAAAATAATACCTCAGGAATAATCTCAATGAACAAAACATCATGGACATTGTGTTGTCTTAATTTTTAATTCCTTCTAAAGTTCAAAGTATCATGAGAAACTGACTTAACTGAGCTCTTACTCAAGCACTTCAGACATTGTCTTCTTAATCCTAACAACTCCCTCCAAAGATAAGGAATGAATACTTTTTCTATTTTACAGATGAAGAAACTGAGTCCTAGACACATTAAATAATATGCCCAAGGGCATATAGCTAATAAATGGTGGAGATAGGATTCAAATCCATACATTTTGACTGTTAAGCCCATTCTATAAATAAAGAAAAGGTGCTTAGAAAAAGAAATGAGATCATCTAGACTCCGTATCCAAAAAGAAACCATGCTCAATAAAGTAACAAGGTTGATTACCTGAACACACTATATTCCAGAAACAGAAAAATGTAAATCGTACAGCAAGAACATCTAGCCATTTTTATAATAATACATCTACAAAGACTCTATTGCCAATGCAACCTGCTCCTTCCTCCATTTTTTAAATCAGGAGAAAATGGCACTAGCAATGATCCCAGAAAAAAAAATACGTCCAAATGTTTTACATTTTTAAAAATTGAGACATAATTCACATACTATAAAATTTACCCTTTTAAAATATACAATTCGGTGTCTTTTAATATATTCACAAAGTTGTGCAACTATCACCACTATCTAATTACAGAACATTTTTATCACCTCAAAAAGAAACCTCATATCCATTAAGCAGTCACTTCTCATTTCCCCCTCCCCACATGCTCTGGCAAATCACTACTCTACTTTCCGTCTCCACGGAGTTGTCTGTTCTGGACATTTTATAAAAATGCAATGATACAGTATGTGGCTTTTGGTACCTGGCTTCTTTCAATTAGCAGGTTTTCAAGGTTCATCCATGTTGGAGCATCTATCAGTACCTTATTCTTTTTAATTGAAGAAATTATTAATATTCCAATATATGGATATACATTAGTTTATTCACTCATTGACAGGCCATGAGTTGTTCCCACTTTTGGACTATTATGACTAATGCTGCTAGGAACATTTGTGGTAAAAGTTTTGTTTGGACATATAAGTTTTCATTTCTCTTAGGTATAAACATAGGAGTGAAATTGCTGGCTCTATGATAACCATGTTTAACCTTCTAAAGAACTGCCAAACTATTTTTCCAAAGTGGCTGCATCACTTTACATTCCTATCAGCAATGTATGAAGCTTTCCAATTTCTCCACATCCTCACAAACGTTTTATTGTCTGTCTTTTTTATTATAGCCATCCTAAGGGGTATGAAGTGGTAGCTCATTGTGGTTTTGATTTGCATTTCTCTAATGAAAATATGTTGAGCATCTTGTTAGGGGGTTAATGGTCATTTGTTGATCTTCCTTGGAGAAATCTTTACTCAAATCCTTCTCCCATTTTTAAATTGGGTTATTTGTCTTTTTATTGTTGAGCTGCAAGACTTCTTTACGTATTCTAGATACTAGTAGACCCTTAGCAAATATATAACTGGCAAACATCTTCTCCCATTCTATAGATTGTTTTTTCACTTTCTTGAAGTTTTTAATTTTGAAGAAGTCCAACTACCTCTTTTTTTCTTTTTGCTGAGGGAGATTCACCCTGAGCTAACATCTGTGCCAATCTGCCTCTATTTTGTATGTGGGCTGCCGCCAAAGTATGGCTGACAAGTGATGTAGGTCTGCGCCCAGGATCCAAACCTGCGAACCTGGACTGCCGAAGCAGAGCGCATTGCACTTTAACCACTACACCAGAGGGCCAGTCCCTATCTATTTTTTTTCCTAATTGCTTATGCTTTTGGTATCATATGTAAGAAATCACTGCCTAACCTAAAGACACAAAGATTTATACCTACATTTTCTCCTAAGAGTTTTACAGTGTTAACTCTTACATTTAGGTCTTTGATCCATTTTGAGTTAGTTTTTGTATATGGTGTGAGGTAGGAGTCCAAATTTGTTCTTTTGCTTGTGGGTATCCAGCTGTCCCAGTATTATTTATTGAAAAGGCTATTCTTTCCCCATTGAATTATCTTCACACCCTTGTCAAAAATCAACTGAATATAAATATATGGTTTTATTTCTGGACTCTCAATTCTATTCCATTGATCTATATGTCTATGCTATGCTAATACCACACAATTTGATTACTGTAACTTTGCAGTTAAGCTTTGAAATCAGGAAATGAGAGTCTTCCAAGTTTGTTCTTTTTCAAGACTGTTTTGGTGATTCTGGGTACCCTGCATTTCATTATGAATTTTAGGATCAGCTTTTCAATTTCTGCAGAAAAAGGCCGCTGGAAGTTGTATAGGGAGTGCAATGAATCTACAGATCAATGCGGGGAGACTGAGCCCAGTCCTTTACTGTTAAACACCTCTCTACAAATGCCAAATGTTATTTTCCCTTAAACAAAAAAGTTATCTCTGTCTTGAGTGCTCTAATTTTCTTTACCTCATAAAAACAGAAGACACCTGAAAAAACAGATCTTCTTAATGCTAATTAACTCTATAGGCCAACTAAGCAATTTTTTTAAATATTGAAATCATTCTCTCTCATTTTGGCTTGTATTATTATAACTATAGCCTATAGTTATTAATAGATTGTATCCAAATAAACTAACTAAACTTACACTTTCATGACACAGTAGGTGATCAATATCAGGCCAATGAGGACACTGAGCCAACAACGTGTCAGAAAGATGATACAAGTTAGCCCAGGCCACAGAGCAATTTGCATGCTTGGTTGGAACTAGAACTCAGTTCCAAGAACCTGGTTTAGGTTTCCTCACTAGAACCATCAGATTTTCTTTGTTCCTTCTACTATTGGGACAGAGATCTAAGTATTGGGTATACATAAGGGTACGTGTATACCTACTCAAGTTCTGATGATATTAAGGAATTACCTGTAATTTTTTAAGGTATGATAATTGTATTGTAGTTATGTTTTTAAAAGTTTTTATGTTTTGAAGATACATATATATTTGCAGATCAAATGATACGATGTGTGGGGTTTAATTTAAAATAATCCAATGGGGCTCGGTGAGGGGAGTTGGTAGAATATTTAGGAAACAAGATTAGATATGTTTATCACTGTTAAAGTTGGGTGACAGGTACATCAAAGTACATTACACTTTCTCTCTACTTCTGAATAAGTCTGAAAACTTCCATTTAAAAAAACCAAAACAGTAGAGTATGGGTGTGCATACACCTACCTCTGCCTGGGTGCCTGTCTCTGCCTTATCTGTCTCAAGGTGCAGGGGCAGGTGGCTAAGGTGGGCAGCACACAGTGATAGAGAATGGATAAAATGGCACAGTTCTCTAAAACTTTCCTTCCTCCAAAATATAATTCATAGATTAAAACACTTCCTCCCTGGAGAATTAGCTTAAGGACTAAAAAGGAAGAAAAAATTTAAGACTTGAGCAATTTCAACTTACTCTTTCATCAACGATTTTCATAAGCCATCTTTTAGTCAGATTATGTTTTTTGACAGCCTAAAAAAACAAGAGTGTTGTAAGTTTTTAGCAAGTACTAGAAATGACTTCTGGAGACCTGAATAAAATAAACAAACCAATGCAAAACTAAGTAAGGGAACATTTGTAATAACTCATCACCAGATGGACAGTTGTGTTAAAGAAATATCAGGGAAAAAGAAAACGTCCCTACAAAACATTTCAAAACATTTCCAAGTAAAGATAATATATCCAAAACTTTTCCACTAAGCTTTTCTTCTTATACTATTAGTAATTCAATGATTCCACTTTCAATCAAGAATTAAATACCGAGCTTCTGTTAGGTGATGCATTCTGACTTCTATGCGTATGACACACAAACTTTTTTCCATAGGATAAAGATTCTATTTAGCAAAAATAACCACTTCTCCAAAAATGAAAAGAGTAACTAAAAGTCCAAAGAAAATAATCTGCAGAGTGCAGCGTTCTCTTAACAAGTAAGACGCTCCAGTAGGAAAGAGCACATCTAGTGCCCAGATCTTGGTCTCTAACACCATTCTCCCCAAAGCAAACAGGGCGCTAGAGAAATGGGTGATTCCAGAGATGGGGCAGGGGAGAGTCAAGATGATACTAGAATATTTCACTATCCCAGAAAATAGAAAGTGCTCAAAAGAATGACAGGGGTGCATGGCTTAAGGACACAGGAGCCAGTTTGAAGGGGCTCCCACTGTCCAAATCTGGGACAATCTGAAGCCAAAATAATTAAGTATAGTAATAAACTACAAACTACTAGAAAAAACAGGAATTCATGAGTCCACACCAATAATTAACAAACAAATAAATACAGGAGATTAAGAGCTCTTGCTCATAGCAGAATGTCAAGAACCAACTGGTAATGTGGACAGAGTGCTAGAGTTGGGAAATTATCATTTTACAGTCATATTAGTAAAGACTGAATCAGATAAGAACCATCAATGACTGCTAAGTTTAGGGAGATACTGAAGAGGAGCATGATACGTGCATAGTCTTAAAGTTGATTAGTTGCAAGGGGAATTCTAATTCTACAGTGGGAAAACCAGGCAACATCTTGACTGGGTGATGAAAATTAACAATGCCAAGAAAGGACAGATGGACAAAGTGTGCCTCCAGGTGTGATACCCTGAGAAGAACATATCACCTATGTGGTATTCTGGCCAAGATTGCATAAACTGAATCTAACCATAAGAAAACATCAGACAAATCCAAAATGAGGACTGTTCTAAAAGAAAAAGTGAGGGTCTATACTCTTCAAAACTATCAATGTTATAGAAGACAAAGAGAAGCTACAGAAATGTTTCAAGTTAAAGTAGGCCAAAGAGACATGACAATTAAACACCTGACCCGAGATTGGATCCTATACCAGACAGAAAAATACTATAGTGGACCTTATTGGGTCAACTGACAAAATTAGAATATAAATGGAAAACTAGATAAAAGTGTCCTATCAAAGTTAAATTTACAAAAGTCAATTTCTGTTCTGGTTATATAAGAGAACATCAGGAAATACTAAAGTATTTAGGAATAAAGGGCCATGATGTATGTGACTTATACTCAAATTATTCAGGAGAAAAATTATGAGTGTGAAAATACACACACACACACACACAGAGCACATATGCACATGTGAGTGAACACTGCACAAATGATTAACTAATAGGATAAAATGTTAACAATAGGTGAATCTGGATAAAGGGTAAAGAAGTGTACTATTTTAAATTTTGTAACCTTTCTGAAAGTCTGAAATTATTTCCAAGTAAGTTTTAAAAACAGTTTTCTTGCCAACACTAAGAATATTCTCACAGTAAATAAATATGGTAGTGAAACAAAGTCTTAGGAATATCCTATACTTTAAGACTCTAAGATGTGATTGATAATAAAATGTAAAGTCTAGCATGCTCATCAACGCACATTTATGCAACAAAGGGTGGAAGCATGGAGAGCGGAGCCCACTTTGCCTGGGAGAAATCTAACAGAAGCTAAAAGGGCAGTGTGGAATTGGTTCTGAGGTGCTCCCAGCACTATGACTATTACATAGCAGGACTCCCCACAGGCTCCTCTCCCCAGTCCCAGGAACCAGCCTGAGATTCCTCAGTCATTACACAGTTCTGATCATGTTTTATTTTTTACGTGTCTGAGTGGCAAAGAGCACATTTGATCTTTGTAACCACACATCAAGCACCATTCCTGGAACATAAAAGTACTTAAAAAATACTTAATCATTAAAAAGTCAGATTCCTATTTACTCAAGGCTGAGGCTATAATGGCTGCGGTTCCTTGGTCACAAAATGTAGTTCTTCTGTCTGATTCTGAAGGAAATCAGAGATCAAGGCAAAAATAAACATATATAAGCAGCTGCAAACCTGCTGAATAAAACATCAAGAACTCTGAAAACAGAAGTCAAATAGAATAAAAACCTTGGCTATAAACATATATTCAAACTGCATCTAATATTAATACACAGAGAAATGGAGAAGCCCATATGATAGGTATAAGAAATTACAGATATTCAACTATTTTTTACCAAAAAGCACCAATGAAACAAGGTGGCAGGAAAGTGCCCTCTGGACAACACATTGTCACTGGTTCCCTATTTAATCCTCTTAAGAACCTGACAGCCTTCAAAGAACCAGTGGAAAGTTTTAGTGGACAGTGGCACAAGAGCATATGCTCCAGCAGAACAGAGAACAGGCAATAGGGACAACTGCTCTGAACACCACCTGCTTCTTTCAAATATTCATATTAACCTTCAACACCAGTCATATCAGAAAGCTGGAAAACATCAAAATCAAAATTTAAGTAGCTATTAAAATTGGAAAAACTGGCATATATCTAAACATTCTGTAATTCAGATATGTCATCTTGTTTTTTTAAGAGAAGCCAAGGCAAGATAAATCTGTGTCAAAGGAATCTCAGATCTTCCATGATATTTCCTGACAAAGGCCAGAACCTTCAATGCAAGTCTTAACACAAACCTCTACTGCAGCCCAGTTTGTGTATAAAAAAATAAACAGGTTTCTGGATTTCAGAGAAACTTTCTCTAAACTGAGTCACCTAGGTCAAGGTTCTTGAAGTAGGATGAATGGAGGTAAACAACTAATCTAATACTCACAGCTTCCCATCCACTTTTTCTTCTCAGTCCCCAGTGGGGGTCGCGGGGGAGCCTGGCTTTCCATCCTTACTGGGGCTCTGTGAAGTCAATCTGGGGCCCAGAAAGAGGGCCTGCCTCTGCTGGTATGCAGACCTGAGAAGAGGTGTACCACTGTCAAGACTGTCAGTGGCTCCTGTTACAGAAATTGTCTTCTGGCACTCAACATATTACAACGGGGACAGAGATCAGAGACTAACAGCACCTAATTCCCTTCCTCCTTTCATAGTTTTAGCATATTTCTAAACTCTGCATGGCTGTTTATGAATGAGAGATCCATACAACTGCTTTAATGTAAAACTATTTACAGGGGCCAGCCCAGTGGCACAGTGGTTAAGTTTGCATGTTCCACTTTGGTGGCCCAGGGTTCACCGGTTCGGATCCCGGGTACGGACGTGGCACTGCTTGGCAAGCAATGTTGTGGTAGGCGTCCCACATATAAAGTGGAGGAAGATGAGCACGGATGTGAGCTCAGGGCCAGTCTTTCTCAGCAAAGAGAGGAGAATTGGTGGCAGATGTTAGCTCAGGGCTACTCTTCCTCAAAAAAAATAAATAAATAAATAATAAAAATAAATAACATTTAAAAAACTAACATAGATCTGAACATTACACAAGCCTAAGAATATTCTCAGGATAGCTCCCCCATCACCACCATCCAAATTGCATCAAAACTATGCTCAAATAACAGTCTTACAAATTAAAAGTAGCATTTTTTATTTTTTACCTTCCATAGTTCAATGGCCACAGGTTGGTGTGGTGGATTGTCACAGTATATATCATCCACAGTTTTCTTCCAAAACTGCATTCGCATCAGTCCAATTGTTTTCTCAGAGACCAAGTCCTTAACCTGTAAATAGGGTTTAAAAACTTTCATAAGGGGCTGGCCCAGTGGTGCAGCAGTTAAGTTCACATATTCCGCTTCAGTGGCCCAGGGTTCGCTGGTTTGGATCCCAGGTGAGGACCTACACACCACTTGGCCAGCCATGCTGCGGTAGGTGTCCCACATATAAAGCAGAGAACAATGGGCATGGATGTTAGCTCAGGGCCAATATTCCTCAGCAAAAAGAGGAAGATCGGCAGCAGATGTTAGCTCAGGGCTAATCTTCCTCAAAAAAGAAAAAAAGATAAATAAAAACAAAAAAAACTTTAAAACAAAAAACTTCAATAAATGCTGTTTACGGTCTCAAAAAATCAGTATTTGTGACTTCATAATCACATAATTCAGTCAAAAACAAAGCTTAATTCTATACATGTATTTTAATTTTTCCTTGAAGGTATACATCAGTTAAATCATTGGCACTATGAATTTCCTAAGTAAAAGCTGCAAATTATTTGGTGCTTATTCAAAAATTTTTGCAAGGTCTGCATTCAAAAATAGGAGATATTCTTCTAGAAATAAACTGCAAGAAAACAAAACAAAGAGAGGGAGAGAGAATATTCAGATTAAAAGAAATTTAAGAGAGAGATCAACCAGGTGCAACATGTGGACCTTATTCTGAATCCTGATTTGGAGAGAGATACAAATTGGAAAATGTGAACAATGGATGTTTAATGATATTAAGGAACTACTGTTAAATTTTTAATGTATGATAATGGTATTGTGGTTATTTTTTTAAAGTGAGTTATCTTCTAGAGATAAATACTGAAATATTCACAAATGGAAAGAGTTATGAGACTTGTTTCAAAATAACTTGGAAGTGGGGATGGGGTGGGTGGGGATAGAGATGGAAAAACAAGATTGGCCATGAGTGAGGAACAGTTGGAGCTGGGTGATGGCTCATATGGCGGTTCATATACTACTCTCTCTAATTCTATATATGTTTGAAATTTTCCGTAATAAAAAGCTTTTTGAAAATAAGTAGAAGAGAAGAAAAACAATCCTTAATAGGTTAGTAATAGTAAAAATATTTTCAAGTCTGAAGATAACCTAGGAAATAGAACCGGCAGATTTGAGAGGAAGCAGGTAAGGAACCAACATTTATCAAATTTATCAAATGTCTGCCAGGCCCTGTGCTAGGTACTGCCCCAGAGATTATCTGATCACAATCCTCACGAACTCACGGGGTCATTACACCAATACACCCATTTTACAAATATAGAAATTATGGCTCAAAAAGGCAGTAGTTTATCCCATGCTCTGCATACTCACAGCCCTTATAATGTAACCAGAAGAATATGCAAAAGATTACAGGGGAGGGGAGGAGTTGACTACAAAGGGGTACATGAGGGAATTTTTTGGGTTGATGAAATTGTTCTGTGGCCTATGTTGGTGAATACATAACCATGCATTTTTCAAAACCTATAGAACAGTACTCCACAAAAAGTGAATTTTACTATATGTACCTTTAAATAAATTTATTCATTCATTCACTAAGTAATTATTAAAAAGATTATTACACTGTCTCCCTCCCTCACTACTGATTATGAATGGTGTTGTCAGGTTCAGGCAAGAATCACCAATGTGTGCTAAATCTCAGAGGTAAAATTTTTTTTTTTTGAGGAAGATTAGCCCTGAACTAACATTGCTGCCAATCCTCCTCTTTTTGCTGAGGAAGACTGGCCCTGAGCGCACATCTGTGCCCATCTTCCTCCACTTCATATGTGGGACACCTACCACAGCATGGCTTGCCAAGCAGTGCCATATCCACACCTGGGATCTGAACTGGCGAACCCTGGGCTGTGGAAGCAGAACATGCAAACTTAACCACTGTGCAACCAGGCCAGCCCCCTCAGAGGTAAAATTTTTTTTAACTGGGATATAATATATATATAATGAAATGATCACCACAATAAGTCTAGCTAACATCATCACCACACATTGTTACAAAATTCTTCTGGTGATGAAACTTTTAAGATCTACTCTCTGAGCAACTTTCAAATACAGTATTATTAACTATAGTCACCATGCTATACTAATTACATCTCTAGGACCCATTTATTTTATAACTGGAAGTGTGTACCTTTTAACCACCTTCACCCATTTCACCTACCCTCTAATCCCCACCTCTGGCAACCACCAATCTGTTCTCTGTTATCTAAGAGCTCAGGAGTTTGTTTGTTTGAGATTTCACATATAAGTGAGATCATAAGGTATTTGTCTTTCTGTCTGACTTATTTCACTTAGCATAATGCCCTCAAGGTCAATTGATGTTGCAAATGACAGGATTTCCTTTTTTATGGCTGAATAATATTCCACTGTTATCTATACATTACATTTTTTTTAATCCATTCACCTCTTTTTTTTTTTTTTTTAAAGATTTTATTTTTCTCCTTTTTCTCCCCAGAGCCCCCCGGTACATAGTTGTATATTTCGTTGTGGGTCCTTCTAGTTGTGGCATGTGGGACGCTGCCTCAGCGTGGCCTGATGAGCAGTGCCATGTCCGCGCCCAGGATTCGAACCAACGAAACACTGGGCCGCCTGCAGCGGAGCGCGCAAACTTAACCACTCGGCCACGGGGCCAGCCCCTAATCCATTCACCTCTTGATGGACACTTGGGTTGTTTCCATGTCTTGGCTCTTGTAAATAATGCTGCAAGGAACATGGGGGTGCAGATATCTTTTGAGTTAGTGTTTTCATTTCCTTCAGGTAAACATCCAGAAGTGGAATTGCTGGATCATATGGAAATTCTATTGTTAATTTTTGAGGAACCTCCATAATATTTTCCATAGTGGCTACACCAATTTACATTCCCATCAACAGTGCACAAGGGTTCCCTTTTATCCACATCCTCACCAACACCTGCTATTTCTTGTCTTTTTGATAAGTTATACTAACAGGTGTGAGGTGGTGTGTCATTGTGGTTTTGATTTGCATTTCCCTGATGAGTAGTGATATTCAACACCTTTTCATGTACTTCTTGGACATCTAGGAGGTAAATTTTGATGGAGACTATGGCCTTAAAATGTCTCCTCAGACTGCTTATTAGTAGCAAGGAAAAAAATATCATCTTGACTGGTGACCAAAATTAGTATCACCAATAAGAGGCAGATGGACATTTCATGCCTCCTTACGATCACCTGAAAAGGACATACCCCACTTAGGCAGTAAACATTAGGCTAGGAATGCATAATACAATCATGAGAAAAAATAACTCCAAATGAGAAGCATTCTATTTTTAAAAAGGAACAGTATTGTTTTAAAAAATTGTGACTGTCAAAAAGACAAAGAAAGGCTGTGGACACGTTCCAGATTAAAGGAAAGTAATGAAAACGAAATGCAATACATAATGCTACATTGGATCCTGTACAGAAGAGGAGAAAATGCCATAGAAGACATCATTCGGGGGCCGGCCCCGTGGCGAGTGGTTAAGTGCGCGTGCTCCGCTTCAGTGGCCCAGGGTTTCAGTGGTTCAGATTCTGGGTATGGACATGGCACCACTCATCAAGCCATGCTGAGGCGGCATCCCACATGCCACAACTAGAAGGAAGCACAACTAAAAAAATATATACACAACTATGTACTGGGGGGCTTTGGGGAGAAAAAGGAAAAAAAAATCTTAAAAAAAAAAGACATTATTCGGTCATTTGACAAAACTAGAAAGCAGATGGTAGATTGAAGCATTCTAACAAAGTCAAATTTACTCAAATTGCTAACTGTACTATGGTTATAAGAGAATATTATTCTTCTTAGGAAATACACACTCAAGTTTATAGGGATAAGGGCCATAGTATAATCAAGTTATTCTGAAATGACTCATAAAAAGAAAAACGTGTGTGTGTATATATATATATATATATATACACATACATACGTATAGAGAGACAAATGATAAAGCAAATGGGGCACAACATTAACAAAAGGGTATATGAGTATTCTTCGTACTATTCTTTTGTGTGTGAAATTATTTCCAAATAAAAAGTTTTTTTTTTATCGGTCTTGGTGCTGGGTGGGTCTCTTAGCAATGTTTAGCATTCAGATCCCAGTGGCATATGGTCTTTTTTTTTTTTTTAATTGAGTTAATGATAGGTTACAATCTTGTGAAATTTCAGTTGTACATTAATGTTTGTCAGGCATGTTGTAGGTGCACCACTTCACCCCCTGTGCCCACCCCCACCACCCCACCTTTCCCCTGGTATCCACTAAACTGTTCTTAGTCCATAATTTTAAAATCCTCATTTGAGTGGAGTCATACACAGATTATCCTTCTCTAGCTGGCTTATTTCACTTAACATAATTCCCTCAAGGTCCATCCATGTTATTGCAAATGGAATGATTTTGTTCTGTTTTGCAGCTGAGTAGTGTTCCATTGTATATATGTGCCACATCTTCTTTATCCATTCGTCTGTTGCTGGACACTTAGGTTGCTTCCACCTCTTGGCTATTGTAAACAGTGCTGCAATAAACATTGGGGTGCATAAGACTTTTGGGATTGCTGACTTCAAGCTCTTTGGATAAATACACAGTAGTGGGATGGCTGGATCATATGGTAGTTCTATTTTTAATTTTTTGAGGAATCTCCATACTGTTTTCCATAGTGGCTGCACCAGTTTGCATTCCCACCAGCAGTGTATGAGGGTTCCTTTTTCTCCGCAACCTCTCCAACATTTGTTGCTATTAGTTTTAGATATTTTTGTCATTCTAACGGGTGTAAGGTGATATCTTAGTGTAGTTTTGATCTGCATTTCCCTGATGATCAGCGATGATGAGCATCTTTTCATGTGCCTATTGGCCATCAGTATATCTTCTTTGGAGAAATGTCTGTTCATGTCTCCAGCCCATTTTTTGATTGGGTTGTTTGATGTTTTGTTGTTGAGTTGCGAGAGTTCTTTATATATTATGGATATTAAGCCTTTGTCAGATATATGACTTGCAAATTTTTCCCAGTTAGTGGGTTGTTTTTCTGTTTC